CACGGATTCAAATTCGGTAAAATATCATGTAGCTATTTAAACATGTTTTACAGTATATTAAATGCAATTTTTAGATACTCCGTTTAATCAATAATACTAGTGTGTAGATATACTGTATTAAGTACAAATAACCATAAATGAACAATCTAACATAACAACCATCCCTTAATTAATACATTGCCAGCTGATATCATTTAATGATAACTGGCAATGTGTTAAACCAGGTTTTTAGTATACTGTAAAATACATTATTTTCACTTGAAATTAATTTTCACTATTTTCGCTGAAGGAATGATTCAGTGAAAATAAAATCCATCGAATATATCTTTTTTCTATATTTCACATTCAATTTGTCAAAATAAGTTCCATACAAAACATCCAAAATGTCTTTTCAACGAAAATTAATTCCAGCTTAAATGAAGTATTTTACAGTACTCAAGCAATTACAGAATGCAATAAAGGTTTTCACAAAGTCCTGTTATGTAATGATAAGCTAGACTAGCAGTGTTGGTCTACTTCATTGAGTATGTACCATATCTTCACCAAGGTACGCGAACAGAGCTCATCCCTTTAGTGCAATCTGGCTAATTTACTATTACACTGAAGGTTAAGACTTGAGATGTTTTACACATGAATGTAGAATATCAAACCCATTGTGTTCTTTCAGTTTCTTCATATGTCTGCGATATAAAATTCAAATAAAGATATTTTAAGCAATGTAATACAATACCTAATATTTCTACACAAAGAATTAGACATTTGATGACAGAACTAATACAGGTATCAAACTCCCTAGTGAGAGATTGTATACATCATTTATGACCATGTTGTAATCAGGTCTACCAGAATTTACTAAAAATGAGAATGATTTTCTGATTTTGAATGACATAACAGACCATAGGAATATGAGATATTTGCTATCAAAACCTTGATCTGCCCCTGCTTCAGACTTTTCAAGACCAATTATTAGCAAATGTTAACAACAAACTGAAATATATCCCTCACATTGATTTGAATATTATGCAATCACATTATACATATATCCTATCTTTGTACATGCAAGGCATGAAACATTAAGTGATACAGAGTGATCACAATAGTGATTTTTGATTTACGGGTAAGTGAAACTAAATTACATTAACAGATGTGACTGATAACTTTTATTATGAAAACCTTAACATCCCTTTGGCAGGCCAGTCACACTGGTTCTCACAAATGCTAAATAAACTGAAACATACATGAAATGAAATATTGTCCACCTATGCAAATCTGTTTGTGCAGGATTTTTACGATTGTATGTCCTTACTGACATCAACAAAACTGGAGGTAGTTGTGGCAAAGGGTAACCTCATTCTCCCATATACAAGAACTCTGCAACCGGATGCAGTTTTATTGTCATACCCAGGATCACAATAGTGAAACAAGCAGCCTCTCGCCTGAGATAGCTCCGCTCTCAGAAATGCACATTTCAATCAAAGAATTGAAGACATATCGTCACAAAAATGAACAAATCTGAAAGAGGTCCACCTGTAGTACTTTTATTTATAATATCAAAGCAATCGAAAATATCACTTTTTACAAAATCCAACTGTAAACAGCCGATAAATGCTTGATTTTGATGATTTTTCAATAAAAAATGGTCGCCATTCAGGCATCTTGAATCAGATCTGATACGATTTGATATGCACGCACACACACACGGTCACATGGATGCACAGAGGTCAATCCATAAGTCCCTGTTTTCAGACTGTGCCAAACAGGGACTAACAAATGTAAGTAAGACAAAGTCAAAAGCAGAGCAAAAAAAAAAATGTGTCACAACTGGCGTCACTTTGTAAATTTTGCAATTTAACTATTTGTTTCTTCAAATGTTTTCGTGATCACATAAAAAAACACACATTTTAGATGAGAATCATAAAGGAGATTACTGCACACCTACCTTACATCATTTGATACCAGCTTAGCTACAGCAATGGCGCAGTTCTGTTTGATGGCAGAATTCAATGAGTCTGTTCTGGCCAATAATTCCTGTATGATATTAGTATCCACCAAACTAACACAGATCTCACGGTCCTGACACATATTGGCAATACATAGTGCACTGTCTGCAACAACTATGTCTTCACACTCGCCCAATGATGCTCTCAAAACTTTCAGTTCTACACAAATGAAAGGAGTGAATATAAACTTTATACAAAATAACTTTTCAGTTAAAATTAATTCCAGCTAAATTAAAGTATTTTACAGAATAAAAGTTGTGAGTACTTGGGCACACGTTTATGGGTCATCGTACATTTCAACATAGTCACATTTAGCATATTTATGATTACTATAATGTTCAACAGAGATGTTTCACTAGTATTCTAACATCAACTACAAGTAGTTTTACCTGGATCACACTCCACAACTGTTTTCCTCGCTCCCTCATTGTATCTTGTAACAACAGCAAGAATTTTAACAGCATGAATTAGTGTTGTCTCCTCACCATCCTGTAAATAATGAAAATACCTTTACGTATCAATAGGCAAGTTCCATGGTTAGCTGAGAAACTTGTGCACTCTTTGTCTGCATAGAGGGCTTGATTTTGCTGTGTAAATGTTTGATAGCTCATCAGAATGCTGGAAACCAGGAAATGAAGCGAAAAATTGCACAAACTAGAAATCAACCCCCACATCTCGCAACCGACCAATAAGCATTATAACACAAACTTCGTCTATTTTTTTTAAATAATTTTGTTACACCAGGCGACAGTTCTGGACATGGAGTGCCACTGTTTTCTCTCCTGACTTTTTTATATGTGCAAATTGCAAGTGCTAGTGCTTCATGTTTGGGACTACATGACAGTGCTGTGTGGCCATCTCTCCGTCAAATGGCAATTTTAATGCGCTATCCTGACGTCAAACACAAGCACCTGCGCACCTTAACCAAGGTTCCCCCGAAGTCGCATTCATTAGTGAATGAATCTCGGCCAGTGGAATTGGCCTTCCCATTGAGTCTGTGGCACACAGGGTAGGGGTCGACCCGATGTTCAGCCTAAGGTAGGATTTGAACTTGGGTCTACCGATCTGATGCGACAACCACTATGCTACCAGTGAATACCATTATACAAATGTGACAGAGATACTTACAGGTAATAGATGCATAATATGCATTGGTAGAAAGTGTTGACAAGCAATGTTTATACATTCTTCACTATATGATATAAGTCTACTTATCAAACCATAACTTCTCTGTTTAATATTGTCATCATAATTTGTCACATACTCTACACTCGCTTTGATAATTTCTTGTGCCATGGATTTCAATGCATCACTTGTTTTCAAGGAAACATTCATCATCATTCCTAACATCACCACAATAATACGATCATCAGATTCTAAATTCTGCAAGAAAATAATTTAGAGACGTTACATGTTAACTATGTGATATTATTTCTCGTCTCTCTCACATTTATGATGCTTAACTTGAAATATCATCGCCGATATAGTATGATAAACTTTACGAAATGCACATAATCTTATACATGATTTAAGAGTAGA